AATGATGACATCACACCTTGGATTATTTGTCAGTCTTGCAGTTCCGAGGCTCCAGAAAATGAATGGTGAAACATCACATGACATTCATCAAATAGTAAAACCCATTTTTTTTCCATGGATATACGTTGCATTCTCTGAGTAATCCATAGGTGCTCTAGATACGTAAGCATTATAGATCAATATAACCTACCCGTTGGCTAAACATTGGATCAAGATAAAACACTTAACATCTAACCAATTGAAAAGTTTACTTTCTGTATTTGCACACGTTGCATTTTATTGCCTTTTTAAGGGGCTATGCCGCACCCTGATAATACACTTAAAAGTTTTCATTTAACTGAACCTGTTGTCAGTGTGTGGTTTCTTCACTTTAAATATTTGGACAGGGGCAGATATTCAAGCAAGCACTTGGTTTGGTCTAAAACAATTTGGCGCCCAATGTAGGGCTCCGGGTTGTGTCCCGATGGACAGCTGACCTAGAAGACACCAGGGCAGACCTGCAGTGATGGGACGGAGACTGATATACGGTAATAGAATAGGGGATGATCTGCTAAATACAGATAGAATGGAAAAACATAGCGTTTAACTGTGTGGGAGTGAGTAACACTATTAAATTTACAATTGGCCACTCACAAAGTTTAGGATGGAAAACAGCTTTAAATATGATCCTTTCTCCAGTAATCACTGTGTTTTCTCCTGTTCACACTCCCCTCAGTGGATTGGAATATATAACTAAAAAAGAGAAATATACAAAAAATGTAGTGCACTTCCAGAATGTAGTACAAAAAGAAATTTAATAACTTACATATAAGGATAAAACAAATGTCACCACTGGACGTCCCACTGGTTGAGAGAAGTGTTTGGTCACACACTACTCGCTCCGCTCCAGTCTGCGGTCAACTCGGGTGGGCGGACCCAGTGACTAGTTTACGTTTTGGGAAGACGCACGCAGGGTAAACCTCTGTGGCAGTCGAGCACTGTAGACGTTCTCTTTCCTGTTGTCTCTATCTTGTGACATCTTGATTAGAGAAAATGGGACAGAAGCTAGGGAAACCCAGTAAGGGTTGGTTTGCATGTGATATAGTGAGAGAGAGAGAGGGTGAGGAGGCAGTGAGGAAGGTGAAGAAGGTAGCTAAGATATGTGGCATTAATATGTCTGCCAGTGGGCGACTACAGCCAGAAGGCTGGCGCAAGCTGCTGAAACAGAAGAAGGGATTGTTGCAGGACAACAAGCTAGTACAGACAGCAGAAGCCTGGTTTAGAGTTGCCAGAGCAATTCATCAGGAGGGGTGGGTAGAAGAAGAAATAGATCTAAGTGGTCAGATAACGTATGTGTATCATGAAGGTACTTGTAATGCTGAAGATACAGGTCAGCCACCGCCCTATGATGGTGGCCGGCACAAAGTGAATGAGGCTGGCCCAGCCCCCATGGCCTCCACCATATTCCTAGTATTGACAACCACCACCCCTCTGGCTCATCCCCTATATACACCGTCCTTAAGGCGGATGGAACACTCTATTCCCCTGCCCCTGTTATGCCTTCCCCTGTTATGCCTTTCCTGCCTGCCCCTGTTACCTCTGCCCCTATTACGTCTTCCCGCCCCTCTTTCCCCCGCCCCTGTTACCTCAGCTCCCGTCATGCCCGCCCCTGTCATGCTTTTCATAGACAGACCCCTAGTTACCACGGATGATAGGCAACAGGGGTGAGACCAGGTCCTGCCCACCCCCCTTCAACCCATACGCCATCCCCTATGTATGGCCTTAATGGCGGCCTACAGACCTCACACTCCTATGAGACTGCCAGTCCCCTGAGTCCCAGATTCCCCCTGATCACGGTAGCCTATTTGGGGCCTGTCCTCCATAACCTCATGATGGGAACCACAAGGCCCGGTTTCTCACAGAATGGGCACCCTTAATGTACGTCACCTTCACTCCGTCCCAGGCTGCAACCCTAGTGTGAATGAATGTCCAGGTCCAAAAGATCTATTCATGGCGTGACTTACTTAGTTTCTGTGAATAAAAGCAGGAGATGCTTACTGGCCTATCATGGAGAAAAGTATTTCCAATGCCCGATTCACTAACAAGGCCAATTATGCCTCGGGCATAGATTTCTGTGAGCAGCTCCAAGACTGGGTCAAAGATAAATTAGCTGACCATGCTACTTGCATTAACGATATCACCCAAGATAAGACAGAGTCTGTGGAGAAATAGCACACCAGGTTATCCCAAGTCTTCTCCGATCTGGGTTTCAGCATGTATAACAAGGCCCATTCCCAAATGTTATCTGTAGCCTTTGTAGCAGGCCTTAAAAAATCCATACGCAAAGGCCTGCTTCTGTCCCACCCCGAGTATAGGGTGCTTCCCTTGGACACCCTCCTGCTGGTTGCTAAGGGCCTAGAATCTTCCCAACTCCCCAGGAAGCCAGCCCCCCTCATGTTCGCCTGTCCTGTGTCCCAACCTTCAGGCCTGGGCCTACCTATTGGTCAGCCCCCTATACTACAACATAAAAATTGTTTCAACTGTGGACAACCAGGTCATTTCCAAAGGGACTGTGGCACCCCAAGAATCTTTAGACAGGCTCCCCCACAGGATGTGAGACTGCCCTACCCCGGAGCTAGCCCCTCCATTGCCAGTCACCCAGCAGCCAGCTACACTGCAACTAGATACCCAGCAACCAGCAATCCTGCTGCCAGCCATCCCTCCGCTGGCCCTGACCAAGCCCACCTGAATCTCTTATGTTAGGTAACTGGCAAACCTGTGTCACCTACACCTGTCATGGCAGTGTATTCAAGGGATAATGGGGGGCCCCTAGCCACAGTGGTCCTGCCTGTAGAAGGCCACCCTACCACCTTCTTAGTTGACACAAGCGCAGCCAGAAGCGTTCTTAGGGAACAAGACCTGCCTGACTCCTCATTCTTGTCTAATATTGATGTCTCTTGCATAGGCACTCCTTGATCTAGCCCTCTGACCCAGCCCCTGAAAGTTGGCACCTTCCCTGACCTCTTAGCCCGTTTTGTAGTATCTTCCTCCTGCCCTATGAATCTGTTGGGTGCAGATGTCCTCTCTCCCTTGCAGGCTTCTATCACCTTTACCCCAGATGGCCAAATTCAAATGTCTTCTTCCCTATCTGCAGCCGATACATCAGCCCTCTGCTCACTACCCCTCTTACTTCACATGGTCAACAGGCCCAGAAGACATTGGTCGCCTCCATGTACCTCCAGTTTTGGTGAAGTTAATTCCAGGGGCCAGCCTGCCCCCTAAGCCACAATACCCTCTGAAGCCTGCCCAAGCACTTCCACCACTTTTAAACTCTCATGGAACAATTAAAAGGTTGATATTGATTGATTTTGAATTGAATTGATATTGTTCATTTGTATGCTGTCATTTCTGGTCACTGAAGTCCCTGAAGAAGTCCTACATACGGACGAAACGCGTAGGACCCCTGGTGGTAACAGTGAGAATACATCCATTGTTTTATATTTAGATTTCTATATTTTTTTTTTCTTTTTGAGCACACACCTTTTAATTGTTCCATGAGAGTTTAAAAGTGGTGGAAGAACTTTTCCTGGAAAAGCATTTATGCTGAAAAAAGAAATTTATTCTCAAGGCATTCTTATTTCAATGAAAGTGTGAGTGGCCACTTGTCATTTATACATTTGTTTTTTTCATACACACAGTTATGCACTATGCATTGTTCTTGTTATTCATTTAGCAGATCATCCCCTTTTTTGCTACATATATTCTATTGAAGACAAGAGGAAGTCTTTGGGGAAAATCCTACCTGGTTCAGGGAGGGTTTTTCTGCTATTTATCTATTGCACTGTGGTTTGTGTATACACATTGCTTTTTGTATTTATTATGTGTACATGTGCTCATTCATTACTCAAAATGGCTGCAAGAGCAATACCCTCTGAAGCCTGCCCAAGCACTTCCACCACTTTTAAACTCTCATGGAACAATTAAAAGGTTGATATTGATTGACCAGGACCCTCGTGTAGTAAGCTCCATCCGGAGCTACACCTAAGACGATGATGACATCACACCCTGGAGGAAGTACATCAAGATAAAACACTTAACATCTAACCAATTAAATGTTTACTTTACTAAAACACCTAACACTTAACCAATTGAAAAGTTTACTTTCTGTATTTGCACATGTTGCATTCTTTTGCATTTTTAAGTAGCCCCCTGATAATACACTTCAAAGTTTTCCTTTAACTGAACCTGTTGTCAGTGTGTGATTTCTTCAGCGTGCACGCATCATTTCACGTTAAATATATGGACAGGAGCAGAAATTCAAGCAAACACTTGGTTTGGTCTAAAATAGAGGTATATGTAACCCTGCAAGGTAAGCATTTTATTTGCATCTCGTAAACAGCAGGGTTTAAACTAAAGTACCAGTGCAACCAGGTCACTAATTACCTTTATTGGTTCTTTAACTGATTTATATATTTGGTGTCAGTAAGTATTACGAAAATTAGATAATGAGCTTTTCAGCTTAGTAAGTGGATATATATAGTACATATTTTAGTACAGTTTATATTTAGTACATAATTTAGTACCGTTTTGTATTCAGAAGTAAGAGGCTCTTGCTATAACTATAGATCTTGACAGCGTGGCTGTAAAAAATATATAATTTTTTAAAGGTATATATTAAAATTAGAATATTTGTTTGTGTTAGTCCTAGGTGTGACACAGTACTGCATGCTGGATCAACTTGTAATCCTGACACTGTATTACTAAAATAAATTGTCTTGTGAATCCAAATTTTTTCAGTACCGAGAGGAGGAAACCCCAGTGCACACTGTCAAATGCTTTCTCAGCATCCAGAGAAAGGAATACACTGGGTATTTTCCCTCACCTCAGCTCATTTAAAAGGTTCAATAGTTTCTGTGTACCATCTGAGCCTTGCCTACCTCCCACAAACTCAACTTGATCCTCATGTACCAATTCTGGTATACAGTTGCAAGAAAAAGTACGTGAACTCTTTGGAGTGATATGGATTTCTGCACAAATTGGTCATAATATGTGATCTGATCATCATCTAAGTAACAACATTAGACAATCACAGTCTGCTTAAACTAATAACACACAAAGAATTCAATGTTGTCACATTTTTATTGAACACACCATGTAAACATTCACAGTGCAGGTGGAACAAGTATGTGAACCCTTGGATTTAATAACTGGTTGAACCTCCTTTGGCAGCAATAACTTCAACCAAACGTTTCCTGTAGTTGCAGATCAGACGTGCACAACGGTCAGGAGTAATTCTTGACCATTCCTCTTTACAGAACTGTTTCAGTTCAGCAATATTCTTGGGATGTCTGGTGTGAATCGCTTTCTTGAGGTCATGCCACAGCATCTCAATCGGGTTGAGGTCAGGACTCTGACTGGGCCACTTCAGAAGGCATATTTCCTTCTGTTTAAGCCATTCTGTTGTTGATTTATTTCTATGCTTTGGGTCATTGTCCTGTTGCAACATCCATCTTCTGTTGAGCTTCAGCTGGTAGACAGATGGCCTAAAGTTCTCCTGCAAAATGTCTTGATAAACTTGGGAATTCACTTTTCCTTCGATGATAGCAATCCGTACAGGCCCTGACGCAGCAAAGCAGCCCCAAACCATGATGCCTTCACCACCATACTTCCCAGTTGGGATGAGGTTTTGATGTCGGTGTGCTGTGCCTTTTTTTCGCCACACATAGTGTTGTGTGTTTCTTCCAAACAACTCAACTTTGGTTTCATCTGTCCACAGAATATTTTGCCAGTACTGCTGTGGAACATCCAGGTGCCCTTGTGCAAACTGTAAACATGCAGCAATGTTTTGTTTGGACAGCAGTGTGGCATCCTCCCATGAAATCCAGTCTTGTTTAGTGTTTTACGTATTGTAGATTTGCTAACAGGGATGTTAGCATTTGCCAGTGACTTTTGTAAGTCTTTAGCTGACACTCTAGGATTCTTCTTCACCTCATTGAGTAGTCTGCGCTGTGCTCTTGCAGTCATCTTTACAGGACGGCCACTCCTAGGGAGAGTAGCAGCAGTGCCGAACTTTCTCCATTTATAGACAATTTGTCTTACAAAGGCTTTTGGAGATACTTTTATAACACTTTCCAGTTTATGCAAGTCAACAATTCTTAATCGTAGGTCTTCTGAGAGCACTTTTGTGCGAGGCATCATTCACATCGGGCAATGCTTCTTGTGAAAAGCAAACCCAGAACTGGTGTGTGTTTTTATAGGGCAGGGCAGCTGTAACCAACACTTCCAATCTCATCTCATTGATTGGACTCCAGTTGGCTGACATCTCACTCCAATTAGCCCTTGGAGATGTCATTAGTCTAGGGGTTCACATACTTTTTCCACCTGCACTGTGAATGTTTACATGGTGTGTTCAATAAAAACATGGCAACATTTCATTGTTTGTGTGTTATTAGTTTAAGCAGACTGTGATTGTCTATTGTTGTGACTTAGATGATGATTGGGATTTTATGACCAAATTGTGCAGAAATCCATATCATTCCAAAGGGTTCACATACTTTTTTCTTGCAACTGTAATATTAGTGAGTCTTGCTTCATTTACTTTGGTCAATATCTTCAGATCTGAATTCAAACGTGAAATTGTGAGTAAATTCTGGGGATTTGATTGGGGATTTGCCTAGTTTGGGTAAGGTTGCTATTATGGTCTAATATTTGCTGATAAACTTTTAAAAAGATTTCTCAAACTATTAGAATGTAAAAATATATATAATATACATATAACATTTATCAAGATATCAAAAAATATCAAAGTAAACAACAGCTGATGAGCTTCTAACAGATTTTACTGAAACTCAAACCAGCAGTAAAAGTCTTTATTTTCTTTTCTAATGTTTTGAACTACCAAATATGCACTAGATACCCAGTTGTCCAAACTTGGGGGAAAGATTTATATCTCGCTCTTTCTGAAGGCACTTGTCAGAAGATATTCAAGACCCACAAAACCTTAACACTGAGCGCCAACCATATGGAAATATCACGGAAAATATCATGGAAAATACCATATCGCTGTTACTTGGTGCAAATGCGCCTCAAGCAAATGTTGCTGAATACCTCCAAATGTTGTTAGAGATGCAAAACTGGTATAGGAAGTATGCTCCATATCTGGTGGGAATGCCCCCTGCTGTTTAAATATTGGATATAAGTATCCACCAGTAATGGTAATTATCCTTCCAAAAACACCAGATTGCCTACTGCTACATAATTACCCACCCAAATTGCCCAAATCAACCAAATATCTAATATACCAAATAAATATAGCTGCGCTGACAACACTAAACTAAAATGGCGTAGGTAGTACTATGGCACCACTTCTGTCACATTGTACTCCGCTAATAGAAAAACAAAGATCTACAGTAATTAGCCCAATAGCAAATTATTGTGTATCCTTATTCTGGTATCTGATTCTTGGCTTGTTTGAAGTTTATCCTGATCTCTGTACTCTTTTGACCTTGGCTAGTTTACTGTTTATCCGATTTTCTCCTGTCCTTGTCCTTAGCTAATCTCTCTGACACTATCTCTCTGACCAGACACTCTAAGGACTGGCACACGGAAAGTCTATTTGTTGTGATATAGGAGTGTATGTTTAGGTTGTGCAAAGAGGTGTGTTAAGCAGTGGAGTTGGGGACAGGCATGGGAACACCAGATAATTTTTTGGGTGTTTCCAAGCCCTAGCAATGCAACTGTTTGTGCAAAATAGACAATTCTTTTAGCAGTCATGTTGTTATTAGCTGCATGATAGATCTCCACAATTTTAGCACTCATGATTATTACCTCATGATTAGCAAATGCCAGTATTTAACCGTGTTCAAAGAATAATTTCTTGAGCAAATTTCCATGAGAAAGTTAATTTTTTTTACAAGTTTGTTCTTCAAAATGTAAATCTATGTAAATAACACTATATGTAACTGCAAGCTTAGCTACAAAAGTTTTTAGGTGAAATTATAGATTCTACTAATTAGTCAGTTCTTGCTGTCTGTATTGATTACTCTCGTAATAATCTTTCCCCTTTGCAGTGTGACCTATTATATAACATGTTTTGCTCAATAACATGTAATTATTGCTGAGAAGCAGTGGAGTGAGATTTTTTTTTCCCAGATCTTACCTAGTTTAAAAGAACTGCCCATAAAACATATGGATTTTTCACTCTGTTTCTCTGTTTATTCAATAGATCTGTGCAAACAATATCTCTTCAAGAGCACCCTATTTTTAAAATTCATCTATGTCCAATAAATCTATATCCTCGTTTTGTACATAGTTTAGTGTTCAATTTCCTACTGAGGGCTCAATAAAATTTTTTATCACTCTGTGCTGTACTTTGATATGAGTTTTCTGGACTATTAAATTTTTTGCAAGGCATGTTTTAGCCCTGCTGTTCACCCACTTTTTCACTAATGCCCAGCACACAGTTAAGTTAGTTGATGGGGAAGGTCATATAGTGGAATCTTTTTTTGAATCTATTTTTTGTTGCGTCAGATTTTTCATTTTGTCTTCAGGGTTTTTTTTTATTTTTTATTTTAATAGTAATGTTATATTTGGGGGATGGACCATGTATGCATATTTTATAAGTAACCTGAACACACTGCTGCTGGGGTTGGGGTGAACTAGATCTCACCTAGTATTAAATTATCATTTATCCATCTACCACCTATGGGTGGAGGCCTGGGGGGGTCACTAGGTCTGCCACTTAATAAACCGCTCCACCCACTGATCACAGGCTGGTTCTGGGGGAAACAGAGATCTGTCTACCCTCCATTATTTCATTTTAAGTTGGGTAGAGGCATGTGAGGGGGAGGTCCCTTTGCTATTTTACACACCCTCCAGGGGATAGGCCCTTTCTAGAGGTAGCAATGGTTGAGCTTGTCAGTCGCTAGTTTATACTCACATCGTTTAGTTGATTGTTTAGTATATATGCCTGGATTTGTTGTATGGCAGGTGGGGGCATAACTAAGGTTTAAGTTCCTTCGTCAGAGTTCCCTCTAAAAGGAAACTGCTGAAGTGTCTATAACCCTGTCCTGAAACACCAGAAAACACTTGGTGAAGAGGTAGAACAACAACACTTTGGGACACAGGCACATATTTAAATAGACAGTCAAAATGGAGGTCATCACTGATGACAATAGGTTCCCTCCCTGGCTCTGCTGTGTCTGAGGGGGTTATAATTTCCAGACAACAGGGCACCTTACAACAGTAACCTCAAAATCCAGCCTGAGTAATAACAGAGTGAGGTTTAGCCATTTTACGATCTAGCACAGAGTTCCAGGCTGCTGCTTAGTACCAGTCCCCAAAATAAATAGTACTCCTGACTTTAGAGAAGAGACGACCCTCTGGTTCTCTCTGCGCTTTGATTGTTCTTCACATGCCTCATCTCACCTCAAATTATCTCTTCTCTCCTGGGTGACTTGGTAACGGAGCAGCAATAGGTTTAAATTTTACCGGGCAGCTGCCTCATACTTGTCTGAATTAGAGTTCCAGGAAATTAATGACTGACCCTGCTGAAGGGGTTGCGGCTGCCCGGTCCCGTAGAACTGTTCCAGAGATGGAAAATAAAGGGCTCTACTGCATGTGGTGTGCAGGTGAAAAAGAGCCAGGGAGAGTTATTATCCTATTTTTAGGAGCAGTTAGACTTTGAGTCCTAGACCCGTGGAGCATGATCAGAGCAGACACATCACAAAAATCTCCCTCACACTGACATGAGGGCAGGGCCGGCCTTCGGGGTGTGTGAGCAGTGTGGCCGCATAGGTCGCAATAGGAGCAGGGGTCGCTCTGTGGCCGACCAATACACGTATATAACATACAGTTAATACACCCATTACAAATATCACACACAGCCAACACATAGCATACATATTCCCTATACAATCACTTCACTCCTATATACACACACTATACATGGATGATGGGGCGGGGGGAGGCGTGCTGTGAAGATTTTTCGCACAGGGTTCTAAAGGCCTAAGGCTGGCCCTGCATGAGGGTCATACTAACCACTTACAGTCTTATTTTGTATTATTTTTTAATTTTAATGTGGTGGCTGGCTAGCAAGTGTTGCCCAGCTCCCATATTATTAACCCTTACTCTGCCAAGGTTTTTTTTTAACTATTTGTTCAGCAGGCAAATAGTACTTTAAATTAATGTTCGCTTGCAAAAGGTAAGTAAAAAATAATTAGCAAATATGCATCCTACTGGATGCATTCAGTC